AAAAACAAGACGGTCGCAGGATCTAAAAAAAATCGCTATTGATTGTTTTATTCCTCTTATTGTTCATTCGAATCATGCAAATGTTTGTCGAACCACGCTATAGAATATAACGTTGACCCTCATGATTGTCCAAACGCGTTATAGATTGTCAATGATTATGCTAATAGCACTAATGAATWTTCACTTTTGGGTAAATGATTGTCCATAAATGCAATTGTYTGTCATTTGGTGATATTGGAGTTGAATTTCGCGCACAAGAAAATACAATCCGCGCTTATGAATGTGCAAACGCGTTATTGATTGTCCATTGATGCCTATGAATGTACACGCATATTCAATTATTGTTATTGAAAGTTGATCCGCGCTAATGATGTTACTTGTGGTGTTGATGAAAGTACGTTACACGTTATTGATACAACTATTGGCACGCATGAATGTACATTTTCTGTTAATGAACGGCAAAAGGTGTAATAATATTGCATTGTATTGTAACGCCATACCGCATATAGCTGTTAAGTTTGCTTTATTTTACCGTATATAGCCTATGCCAGATATTTTTATACTGATTGCAAAGTTAGGTTGTGATCATTTTGTATTTTTCCGTCTTGATTTTCTTAAGAATTGTGTACTTCTTTTATGTATCTGTTTACAGGCTATCTTGAGCTCGGTGGCGTTTGGTTGTGTAAGCAGCCGTCTCTTGTGGAAGGATTAGACAAAACCGAAACAAATGTCGATGAAACAATTTATGAGCAGAGTACTGATCTTGTTGAAAGCCAGATATCAGCAGACACTCCTAGTTTTATTAGAAGGTCTTTGTCTGTGGAGGAGGGTGAGGAAGACGTATTTGGAAAGAAGGAAGTTGAAAATAGTAAAGAAATAAGTTGGGATTTAGATGGCGAAGACGGTCAAATATTAAGAAGGACAACTACATGGCTTCAAAGAGCTATATCGTTATGCAGCGAGGGTGATGACATTGAAACTTTGGCATGCGAAGCAGAAAATGATGAATACGTTAAGGAATTAAATTTCCCCAAACCATTTGCTGTTCTTGAGAGTGATTGTGTAGGAAATTCCGTTATTAATGTACAACAAATATTGAATACAAACAGAGGTAGTGGTATTGAATCGAAGAGAGAAACAGTGACACAAGAGCCAACGGAAATCCTAAGCGAATATCGAGGAAACCAGAAAACTAAATATGAGCCCTGTGAGCCATACAACTCGCCCAAGAGTACGTCAAATCAAGAGGATCCTGGTGACTTTTCTGTAGTATCGAAAGAAAACCAAAAGGAGACAACACCTTGTAGATTCCATCCACAGGACATCAGTTTTTTGTCGGATAGCACAGGAGATGAYTATCTTTTAGCAGCGGCGAAAGTCGTACGTCAGGCATTGAACTTTGAACTAGATGGACAGTACGAGGAAGCATTTCACCTGTACAAGAAGTGTGTTAGTTTGCTATTGAGCGGGGTACAAGGTGAGCCTTTTCCTCATACAATTGTTGATCTAACTATTTCATCTAACAGAGCATATCTTAGCCGGGCCTCTTAGCGCTATAATTTAAGACTTGCGTTTTCTAATTTCTTTAGGGGAAAAAGATGCAAAACGCCGAGACGCAGTTCGTCGTAAGACAGCGCAATATCTTTTGAAGGCTGAAGCTCTTTATACGGCATGCGTTCAGGAATCAAAGGTTGTTTTTCTTATTTATATTATGTTTTGCGAGCCGCCTATATAAGCCCGTATTGTCGGCTCAGAATTACCTTGCGATAGGAAAATCGCCACAAAAAACTGGTTGCGATTTTGACGGATTTCTTTTACGGTTTTATTATTGACGGCGAAGGTTAATTTCGAGTCTTCAGAATTTTGGCGATATTAAAGCTAGAAAAATCTAATAAATTCATGTTGAACTCGTGGGGTTTTAAAGGGCTCAAATAGCACTAACCTAACGGGCTTGTGCTATTTTGAATTATTTGGAAAACCACTCATTTATCCCAAATTCCGCTCGAAACCATTTGATTTCATATATTAATCTTATGTATAATGTAAAAAATATTAGCGGCCTGACCAGGGGACTCAGTGGTGAAAGTCGAGCGTTTTACAGCTACACCGCCCTTGCCATCATAAAAAAGCTCTTGTCGTTCAGGTTTGTTTGTTTTATGTGTTGACATGCTTTTATTTCATGTTCTCAAAAGGAACTTTCTGAGAATACGTTTAGAAGATTAAACGCCGTAAGGGAAGATAGCAATCATCATCAAGAAGTACCCAGTCAGCTTCAACTGGCTAACTATTCGGTGATTGGTATCGTTGGAAAGGTTGGTACATAAACGCGACCGAAATCTCTTGGTTGACAATAGCAATATTCAGTTAGTATTTTAGTACTAACTGAATATTTAAGATTAAATATCAAATATTAGAAATGTCAAATTAAATGTCAAATGTTTGTTCGTAGAAGATTTTCAGTTGTGGCTACTGCTTCTTGAGAAGCGGTTTCATTATGCCATCAGTTATTTCCCTTCGCAAACCTATTAACTGGATATAATGTGCTTGGATTATCCTAGATTCTAACAGTGTATTTTATGTCAAGATTTTTTAAATATTTAGCCTATTACGGCCGAAAATCAAAAAGTGTTATTTTCAGTTTTTGGCTTTTTTCTCCTCATCCTCAGGTTACGATTTTTCTTAAATTTTCTGAATCTTATTATCGAGTAGTAATGCAGCCTGTGTATAAATTTGGATGGAAAGTCTTGGGCAGAAAAAAGTTATGACGGCGCTTGAAAATTGGATCCTAAATTTGAAGCATATAAGGCCCCGTCCACATTATGCCGGATAAATTTGAATCCGAACTTTTATTTATTCGGTTAGGCCTATCGTCCACACTAGTCCGGGCGAATCCGAAACAATTCTTTACCGAAAACGAATTTTTTCGAATCTCTTCAGAGTGGAACAATTTGTAAATACCGGCTAGCCGTATTAGTGTGGACGGAGAACATTTTGTATCCGAAATTTTTCGAATACGATACACAGTAATATACAGTTTTTTAATTCAAACGTGGGACGTTTGTCACAACTGTGTATTACCATGCTTCGGGAGTAAATCGGAAATCGGCCAAGCGAGATTAGACCGTGCATGATTTTGAAGAAATTGGTGTTATGGTTATTAGCAAACAATAGAATTCCCAGAGCATCAAATCGTTGGGAAACGATCAATGTTTTCTGCATTTCTCGTTTGCTTGAGACCGCTTTAAATGAGTTCAATAGTCTTGCAATTTTGTGTAATATTAGTTTAAGTTCTAATTTGTATCCTGGCTTAGTTTTGAGAGAAATTATCAGCGAATATTAGAATAATGGAAGATCTAGTAAGATTGACTAGAAAACTGCGATGAAAAGTGCGCATCAAATGTTTACCTCTTCTTATGCACTATACGTTTTCACAAAATCGCAGAAGTCGATTACCTTCAAAATGTTCAAAACTATATAGCTCTAAAATATTAATTTTGGCCGTATCGAATCTATTGTTTAGTTTTGAAGTAGATTATGCTTTATATTTAAAGAATCTCGAATATCTCATAATTAGCTAGATAGATTTTTGAAAAAATCCCTACAAATGGAGGCATCTAGTATATAATTATGTGGTACGAAGCATTTTAACGAAAACAAATATTTCATCATAATCACGTGTTATGACATCCGGTCTCATWAAAAACTGCATCAAACATTAATTCAATCTTTATGTGACTTATGTGCAAAAAAGATTTGCAATCGGATAAAACACGTTTATGTACTAGCGTTCCAAACGTGGAAGGTAGCGGTCAAGCGTGAGGGGGTCAAGCCACCTTAAGGTGACTGCCTACTTTTGGAAAAGGATTTAAACCTTTTTTAAAACTTCGATTTTCCGAATTGAAATTTAATGCTCATTCCAAATCTGGAAAGAAAAATTTGGTGTCCCGAGCTTGTTTTCGAGGTCATCAGCATTTAAAGGAAGACTACGCGCGAGCTTTTTGATCAAAACTTGCGCCACCGGAAGTGATTAGAAAAAATTAAGATTCATAAGATAATAGTTATTTGCAGACTATATGATTGCGCGATTAACGGCTAGTCAATCATTCTGCAATAATACATAGATATTTTCGACAAAAAGACAAAGAGATATATTGATATTTTGTTTTAATATTTTGTAATTTCGGTGCTTTTAAGAAATCTAATAAAATCGAACAAAAATCCTTACAAAAATCTATTTTTTTGTCATGTGTTAGAAATGTAAACTTTATCTAAAATGATGATATAACCGAAATTTTTAAGGGTTTTTTTCAAATGAGCTATTAAAAAATATACAGTCCCGTGCAAAATTTGAGGGTTTTGCCCTGTTGAAGCTCAAAACACGTATGGTTCTTCAATAAAATCTTGTATATTTTTCAGTGGTTTTTGAGCACGCGCACATCGTAGGCTCAAATTGAACGCTCAAAAGTAGGCAGTCACCTTAATTTTTTGTGGTTGAGTCAAAAAATATATAACTTTAAGATTCTTCTGTATTTTTACCCCAAATTCTCTAAAACATCTCAAGTCCAATGCATTACACGAATAACACCAAATCATCATTTACAAATGCAACACAGAAATTCACCGTTTTTCTTCTTAAAACGTTAACGATATTTAAATCTACCGAAAGGATAGTAGAATCTTTTTTAAGACAAGTTCAAATGTGTTTTACAGTCGTTTGAACACAAAAAATATGCTCGCAATTCAGAACACATCGATCGGGCAGAGTTATCATACCCACAAATGATTGATGAATTCCTTTCTGGTAGTTTTGATTTCTGGTTTGTAGACGTCGATTAATACCCCGTTCACTCTAATGCGTTTTTCGTTTGAAAACGCAGACATTTCAACTAAAACGCTCGAAAACGATGAGCGTGTTCATCGAAAACGCAGTTTCAAAGACTGTAGATATAAAATGACAGTTCTGCGMCACGGGCCCAGCCGGATCATGCGGATTCGTTGCGGACAATCGATTAGATGCGGATTTTCCACTCGGTCGCCTTCGGATCTTGGATTTCGGATTCATAGGGTTTTGAGATCATCTTCAATTTTTAGATTAATAGAGGATGACGTCATTTTTTATCATTCAAGGCAGGAGGGAATTTTTTCTCTCATCGTATTCAATTTGCGTGACAGCTCGATTTGTTATTCCTAATTTATTGTATGTCTACGGATTGTTTTTTTTTTTTGTTCTCATTATCTTCTCATCTGCCTGATTGCCAGTTGGATTCAACTCAGTGCAACTGTCGCTGCGATATATGCAAATAATGAATAAACGTCATGCATCATGAGAAGTTTGATTATATTATATTTATTTCGATTTGTGAGAAATGTTTGACAATATTTTAGTCATACTCGAAATTTTCTA